GTAAATAGAAAGCATTTTCTAGAGCCTCTGTAGAGTCATGCTATTGATACTTGTAATTTTAAGAATGGCTCAGGACACCACAAATGTTCTACATGTAGTTAAGGAAATTCCCTGGTCTTGACAGACCTCTGTAGAAGTGGCTGATGGCCCTGCACCTGGTAAGTTGGTGGCAGCTGCCAGCCAAATCCTCTTCCTGTTATCAAGTGAGGGAGGCAGGGGGCTGGGGGAGTGGAGATAGATATTTCCAAAGGAAGGAATTGAAGAACAACAGCTGTTTCTTCCTTTGGATGTCCTGAAAAGGTGCCCCACAATTCTGCTTTCAGTGGAAGGGAATTTTAGGCTTATTTTTCCATAATCATTTGTTTCTTGGGATGTGGCCTTGTGTAAAGGAAAGGTCAGTTGGCTGGAGGCAGAAGCAAGCCCATATTTCATCCATCTGCCTCCACTTCCTAGGAGAAGTGACAGGTGCAGATTCATCCGTGAGCAAATGCCTGCAATTAGTAATGACTCAACCCCTGCCAGAAATGTGTTGTTGAAATAAATATTTAAGTGGTGTTGGACAAATGGTGGGGAGATAAGAGCACTCAGGGTCTGTTGTACATCATGGCAAATCTCCACTTTATTATACACAGACTGTCCTGAATATGTGAGTGGGAAATAAAGGATGATTCTCTTTCCCAAAGTCAATCAAATACCATTTCCTACTGGAAGTGGCCAGAATAGGGAAGGGCACATAAGAGTCCTTCCTTCCTGGTCCCCAGCTGTGCTGAATTCAGCATATTCTTTTTCTTCCTTGTTACTTTGGTCAGTTAACATGACTAGAAGATCAAACTCCAGGATCCTTAAAGGACACCACAGTCATTTACCTAGCTTTGTACATGCAAGAGTGTTGGAGAACCCTAGTCTGAGAGAGCTTCTGCTGAAACCCAGAAATGACCTGCCATCAAGCCTTTCCTTGCCTCCCACCACTACAGGTAGTGAAGACATTGGTGAAAGTCACCTGTCAGCCCCTGACTGCACCTATTTAGCCATATATACACACTACACAAGAATCTGTGACTAAAGTAATAGTTTCAGAATCTGTTTTTGGATATTCTTTAAGAGAGACTTGGATAATCTCTCTGTCTCTGTCTCTGTGTCTCTTCCTCCCTCCCTCCCTCTCTCGGCCCTCTTTGGGGCTAAGTTGTTTATACACCTACAGGCATACCTCCAATGTGTGGCTATTAAGGTCTTTAAATGACAGCTTAATATGTTTTCAAGACTGAGGGAGCCAACAACAATTCCTGAGGAGCCATGTTTACATTGGATCAGCCTGCCTGGGAGACACGCCAGCAATTTTGCACATTGTAGGAATTGGAGGTGAAATCAGGAAGGACTAAGGACAGAGAAAAGGACTAACATGAAAGATAGGAAAGCCAGGAGGGACGGGAGGTAGAAAAAAGATGCCCAGTTAAACCTGGCAATGCACTTGGGAGTCCTGTTCCTTAATGCTCCTTGGGTGTTTTGTGGAGGAGTGGAAAATAGAACCCTTTGGATCTAGTCCATTGGCACATGCAGTCAAGAATGAGCAGGTGCTTAGACCTCTTTGTCCTGGTCCCTTCAAAATTCCCACAAATGTCTCCTTTCCATCAAGGGGTTCTTGCAACAGGGGTCAGTTCACCTTTACTGCAACCTCTAACCAGAAGCTTGATCCCTCTGAGTCTTATTTTCCTCATCCAGTAGGTGAAAATGAACTCCACTGCAGGCCTAAAGTTCAGTAATTCTATGGGGAAATTCTCACTGACCATTCATGCTCAGAAGGAGAGACTCAGTTCAATGTCAACAGATTTTGTATCAGTTGGGTAAGAATAAAGTCAAGGTCACTGGCCACAGTCCTAGCTTATCAAGGCTGAACAAGTGGCCTAAACTTCAGCCGAATGAAAATAGGTTGCTCTTCTGATGGGCCAGTCATAAATAAAAGGGCATCCATCATCATCAAAAGATTCAGTTTCCACACCCCCATTGAAATGTACCATCATTACCAAGATTAATGATGGCTAATATTAATTGAGTGCTCATGTGCTCAACCTTTCATACATATGCATTATATCACTTAATTATCACATCCACAATGGGAAGTAGATGCTGCTATTGGCTCTTCAACTTTTAGGTAAGGTGAGGACACAAACTCAGAAGTTAATTAGCTTGGTAAATGGTCAAGCTAGGATTTGAACCCAGATCTGAGGCCAAAATCTGTACGAGTAACTAGGGTTCTTTAAGCAATAGAAGAACAAATTCATAATAGTGGTTGATTTTACCAAAAAAAAAAAAAATGGCATTTGGCCTTCGAAGCCTTTTGTTACCAAAGAATGTTGGCAATTCCACCATACTCAGGGAACTCCCTGTGCTAAGGAAACTTCTCTTTCCCAGTAGAGAAGCAAATGAAGGCTGAAGAGCAGCCAATGGGAACATTTGATTCAGCAAGGGGAGAGAAGTTTAGGAAATATTCTGCAGCTCTGCCTCTGTATATGTGTGTGACCCACTGTGAGTCTCAGCCTGCCCAGGCTTGGTTAGATGATCTGTAAGGCTACTCCAGTTTGGGATTTTATGTTCTCTCTTGAAGGCCTTTATATGACTTTTCAGCTGCTGGAAACTCCTGCCCCTCTCAACCCATTGGGGATAGGGCAGTGATGATAGTGGGTGTGCCATTTTAAGCCATTTCTCATTTTGTAAATAGGTCCCTTGCAGTTTGAAGAGTCTATAAAATTGTTTCAAAATGTCTAAGTGTGATTACACATCCTGAAGACAAATGTTATAAAATCCCCACTGTTGCAGATTTGCAAAATAAATATGCAATAAACACCGTTCAGCAAGCTATTGATGTGACACAAAACTTAATCACTGCTGTTCTGTTCCGCCAGGGGAGCTTCTCCCAGGCTCTGACTCCCTTCCCTTCCCTTGACCACTTGGATTGAAGATATTGGCTAATCTACTGAACGGTGATCTCCTCCCTGATTGTTGAAATCCCAAGAAGTAAAAAAAAAAGAATCACCCTTTCATCTCTACCCACAACATTCTTTCTCTAAGCCTGTAATTGGATCTAAATGGAAAACAAACCCTTTGCAGGCCAAGGAAGTTGGCGCTAGAGGGTGACAAGGAGAACATGTTCCACCTCTAATCCAGATAATCACATACTTCTATGCAAAGGGAAATAAAAACAAGGCTTCTTCCAGGCATGGCCCAGGCTGCTGGTGGGAAGAGGGTCTCTACTGACCTCGGCTTGCTTCATATGCTAACCACCAGCCAGGCAGCTTACAGCCAGAATACCCAGAACTCATCTTACTTTCCAAAGAATAATGAAACACTGTCACCTTAGCCCTGAGCTCTTCTATCTTGACTGAATTTGGGGAGGCAGTTCAAAACATTCATATCATAGAGTTAAAATTAATAAGCTGGACAATGTACCCTATGTTAGGAGCTTAGCTGGCCAGACAGTCTGTGGTCCATTTATGGTTTTCTGGGTCTTGCTCTGTGTGTGTGTGTGTGTGTGTGTGTGTGTGTGTGTGTGTGTGTAGGGGGGAGGGCACAGAGTGCTATGTTTGAACAGAGGTGAGCAAGAAAGGTTTGCCCTCACGCACTTGAGAACACTGTATAGAACAGAAGAACAGTGTACACAGAACTCACTAGTAGGTAGAAACGAACAGGTATCTTTGAAAGGCCGAGTGTCCTGTGGGAGTCCCACAGGACAGATGGCTGCATTCTGCAAACAGTATGGCAAAGGCGATGGAGAATGGTACATTCCAGAGAGATGCCCGGATGAAATCTGACTTGGTGTACACATGCAGAAGGATTTACTAGCCTCTGGGGGGTGGGGGGGAAGGGAGGTTGGGGCAGGTGGTCTGTAGAAGGACATAACTGTTAGATGGTGAGTCCTCTAAGGCTTGCATCTTTATTTTGATTCTGCTATATCAGAATATACATCTATATCTGTATCTGTATATATTGTTCCCCACCTCTCATTTTATATCATAGGTAATGACAGCTGTCTGAGGAGGACTTTACCCTGCAGTACTAAATCCTCAGAAATCAGAGCTTAATAATTGCTGCCTTGAGAGATTAATCCACAGTGTCACCATTGTTATTATGCTGCTGTGAGGGAGGTGGTGGGGGAGTTCATCATGAAACTGAGGTTCAGAGAAGTGACTTGATCATGAATGTGCCACTAAAAAGTGCCAGTGCCAGGATGGAACAACTAAGACTTTCCTTACACCCAGTTGCCTGCTGGAACCAACTCTGTGAGCCTGTGCCTCAGCTTCTCCATCAAAGCCTTCCTCTTCTCTTGTCTTTTAAATCCTCAGCCTGTCCCCCCCTCCCCCTTCATTCAGGTAGGTGACCAGCAGGGGTTGGAGCTACAGGCACAGCTGCAGGTCTCTCCTGCAGCAATTTACCCTTGACCTTCTGGGCTCCAGGCCAGCCCTTTTTGAAAGGGAAACTTGCAGACCCTGGGGACAGAAATCAGTTCCCTTGTGCTAGAACTACTACTGCCACTGTCAACAGTACCAACTGAAGAGAATGTGCATGTGCGTGGGGAAGTCACAAACACCAGGACCATAGCCAAATGGGAGACTCTTTGTGAGTAAGTATTACAGGCCCCGCACCTTCACTTCAGTCACCAGGGAGGGGACAGGGAGCCAGAGCTAGGGCTTCCCCCCACCAACCCTGGCCAGACCAAGTGAAGGAGTACGGCTCCCCCAAAAGTTTTTACCTTAATTCAGCTTTAATTAATATCACCAAAGAACTAAGAACCTTTGCAAATGTTTGACAAAACGTTGGCACAAAGAGTGGATTTGGGGGTGTGTGCCTGTCGGCTCAAACATGTATTCCCAACTATTTTGTTTGCTGTGACGTCTTGGAATTTACTGACCGTCCCTCCCAGGACCTCTAGGTAAGTCTCCGAGCGCAAAATGGGAAGGGGAAACAGGGAAAAGAATCTAGGTAAATATGGACAGATCTCCGCTCACCTTTTGCACTCCTGGGTTGAGGTCCTTAGCCACCTTTGCCATCTTTTCTTGGGCGTGGAGAAACAGCGCGTGTCTTCTCAGACAGAGGCGCGAGGGCGCGCGGCAGGGACAGCGGGGACAGCGGGGACAGCGGTGGCTGAATGGCCAGGTTCGCGCGCCCAGCGGCCAGCTCTCTGCTCAGCCTAGCGCAGCCAGGCGGCTTTAATTGAAGAGCCGGACTCCCTCTAAAACCGCGCCAGCCAATCGGCGCGGGCGCTCGCTGTGGGCCAGCCAATCCCAGCGCGAGGTTGCTCCCCTCCCTTTGGGTGGCCTCTGCCTGGAGGCCCGGAGCGCTGCGGAGCCCTGCCCTGACGTCAGTGCGGCCGCGGCCCCAGCCTGTCCCGGGCGGCTCACATCTGTCCCGGGCGGCGGCGGGCGTCCTGTTCGTCCCCACGCCCTTCTCCTTTAAAGGACAAGGAGCAGAGGGTGGGGCGGGCGGAGGGGCCGGGCAGTCCATTCAGGTCAAAAGGGAGCGTGATCAAACAGGAAGGCCGAGGTATTTTTAGTGAGCCAGATCCAAAAATAAATGCTGAGCCGTGTTCCCCTTCCCAGACCTTCTGGGTTGTGTAGGGGCAGCGGGGAGGGTGGGATTGGGGAGAGGCAGGTGGTTTACCCCAGCAAACTGGCTGTCCCCAAACCTGGACGAGTTCTCCAATCACCAGAGAAGAGGTGAGATTTCAGTGGGTCATGATCTTTTAACCCTAACAATTGCAAAGTAGAGAGCTGCTTTCTTACAACTTGTTTGGATGTCAGTTGGAACCAGATGCCTCTATGGGTACATTTTCGCATTGTATCCTCACAATGACCTCATGTGTTACGGTTACAACTAGACAGACAAGGGAATGAACAGAGAGGGAAACTGGACAGAAATCGAACTCCTCAGCAAGGCCTTTATTTCACCTGAAAAAAAAAAAAAAAGAGAAAGAGAAATCGCCTGGGGAGAAGGGGCAAAGGATTATTAACTGTAGATTAGGATATTGGTGATTTTTAGGTAGATTGAGTTGTGCATGTCTGGACAAGCAAGATTCTAGCTGAGTTTGCTCATCCTTGGAATGAGGTGTCCTTGTATCATCAACCAATCTGATAAGACAGAATTGGCCACACTTTCCTATTAAGCCACTTCCACAGACTTGGCTTCCTGAAGGCGTTTTCCTCTGCCCTGACAGAGGCTAAACACACCTCTTTTTATCCCAGGGACAATACTGTTCTGTCTCTTCCAAAGTGTTTGTCCTGTAGCCTATGTTGGCAGTGTGCCCAGGCTTCAGTGGGCTCAAATCAAACTCAGGTAAAGGGAGACACAAGAGTGGTCTCAAAGTACATCATTTGTGATTGATTTATTTGGGGGTCAGGGGACTGCAGGTCACATTCTGGAGATTTCTCTTATTAATAGGAGTCATTTTTGTTCTTAAAGCCTCTGCCAGTAATCTCAAATCTTAACCAGGGATCCCAAATTGTGATTCCTTTTTCAATTCCTGGCAAGGGATTTCTATTGGTCATTTAGCTTTTACAAGATGAGGGGCAGCCTATTCTGACTTCATGGAGTTCTGCTGTCATTGAAATCTGGCTTGCTCCCGGTGATAACCCCCCAATACCCAACAGGCAACAGAGGCTCAGACACATTTGTTGAGTATTTGGAGGTCAAGTCTGATTTTCAATCAGTAGTTATCCTGCCAGGTGAGAGTAAGGGAGATGGCACTAGGATGTACTTGGTCTGCTCTGGCCAAACTTCCAAGGTGGGCTGCCTGTCAAACCACTGTGTAAACACACAGTGGCCAACAGAAGCCTGGCCTGAGAGAGAGCTTGCTTGTGAATGCCCTTTCAATAGCAAGTCCTAGGAACAACAGTGCCAAAGTGGGATGTCATTCCAGAAGCCTTTATGTTGCAGAGATGGGAACAGAAGCCAGGAGTAGAACAAAGGCCAGCTTTATCCCTTTGAAAGTAGGCAAAAGCCTTCCCAGTGAAGTCATTCTCAGTCTCTTCTAAGCTACTGGTCTTTCCTCATCTTGAGACATCATTGTTCCACGGAATATTGGCAGTTTTGTTAACCTTACCCCTAGTTAATAACTTCAACCACAAGATTCATTCCATTTTTTACATTTACCATTGGCTTCAGGTACCATGAAGAGGGCACAAGCTGTGGTTGTTTCTCAGAATGTGAGTGGTGGGAGCTGCTGTTTGAGGTGCCTCATCCTCTCTCTACTGGAAAAGAACCTGCTGTCTACTAGTGCTGGCTCTCATCCTGCTGAGGAGCCTTTAACTCCACTCTCAGTGCACATATTCCAGAGTTCTTGTAGTCACAGACTACAAGACTGCCCAGGAAAGTAGGGGGAATGTTGTCATTGTACCTCAGCCTCACTCCAGCTCTGAGATCCTCTTTGCTTCTTTTCTGGGTTGGAATAGCAGAAAGGTCTGATTTCTCCAAAGCTCACTGGGTGGTGATGCTTGGGCTTATTGGAAACATTCATTCATTCATTCTTCAAGCATGTTCAGGGCACCTGCTTTAAGCCAAGCCCTGTGCTGGGTGCTGGGGACACTGAGGCATATAAAAGAATTCTTTCCCTTGGAGAATGTCTTGGTCTAATAACTGCCACTAGGGCTTTCGGAATGAGAAGCTGTTATCTTACATGACTTTCTAGTTGGCTACTTTCAGAGAAAATGGAAATTCAAAGGATTTTTCCAAGGTCCTACAGCTAGTGAGTGGCTGGAATTCAAATTCTGGATTTCTAATTCCAGGTGTGTCCTTTTAATACTGCATCCCATAATGATCATAGAGGATTGCTTACAGAGAAGAGTGAGCACTTGGTGTACAATGATGCTATTATCAGCATTATCCCTGCATTTGTCCTAACTGGAATTTTTAAATGAATCTTGTGCTATTTTTATCACTTATGAATAAATGAATTAAAAAAACACACTTTGAGCTGGGAACCACCGTGGGGTGGGCCCTGAGTTGAGGATACCACAGCAAATAAGACAGGGAAGGGTCCTGCCTGCAGGTGACTGCTATTCCAGTGGGGGAAACACGCATCCAACGGGTAGCCAGGTCCTTACATAAGGTAATTAGGGATTGCAGAGAGTGCCTAGGGGGAAATAAGTGGAGGAGAGTCTCCCCAGGTGTGGTCCCTTTAGAGCAGGTGGTCCAGGAAGGGCTGGCTGGAGGAGGTGGTATGTAAGCTGAGACCTGAAGCAGGGTAATGTGTCAGCTGTGAGTAAAGTCATGTGGAATGAAGAGGAAGGTGGAGGATCACGTGATGAGTGCAAAGACCTCCAAGGTGGGCACTGACTTGGTGTGTCTGATGGGCGGTGGGGTCAGTTTGGCTGGAGGTTAGTGAGGGCTTTAGAGAATGACATCAAGAGACCAGGGCAAGGTAGGCAGGGTTGGAGCTCTCTGGGTCCTGTAAGCTGTTCTAGAGTTTAAGCTCTTCTCTGAGAATGGTGGTGTTATATACCAGTGCTTTCCCACTGGAGCATAAGGAGGGCATATGTGTCATTTTAAACTTCCTAAGAGCCACATTTTACAAAAAAAGGTAAAGGATGAAATATTTATAATGAATTTGATGTAACCCAGTATAACCAAAATACTGCCTTTTCAAGCTATGATTGATATAAGAGTTATCAAGATGTTTTATGTTCTTTTCAGTGCTACATCTTTGAAATCTTACACTTCTAGTACATCTCCACAAAAGATTAGCCATATTGCAAATATACAATAGCCAAACTTGGCTAGTGGCTACCATACTGGACAGAGCAGTTATAGGGAGTTTTTAGCAGAGATTTACTGTTAACAAAAAAACAAAAACAAAAATAAGAGCTACTAATAGACATTTAGCTGATAACTTATACGAACTGGAGTGTTTCCAGGTCCCTGAGGACCTGAAAAATCAGTAATTAATTTCTCTACTGTGGTTTGCTACATGTTTTAAACATTGTATACAAGGTACAAGCAATTAGCCCAAAGTCACGAAGCTAAAAAGAGGCAGAGCGAGATCTTGAACCCAGATCATTTGGTTTCATAAATTCTTTCATAAACTCCCAATAATCATGCCTGACAATACTTTTTTTGTTGTTACAGTATAGCAGTCATGGCCCAAGTTGTTTCAATGTGCAAACATGAGCAGTGGTTTCTATTTGGTTGTGAATTATTTTTACATGTTGTATTCATTAAAAACACCTAACATTTAAGGGTTATAAATATAAATAATCCATGGACCACGTAGTATATTTTAATTAACAATATAAATACATATGAATGACACAATATAGTTTAATTTGTATCAACTTGGACTGTCATTTGTACCATATATAGTGAACTGTTAACAACTTAGTTTTTCTTGGTATCTTTCCTGCCATTTTAATGGAACTTTAATTTTAGAATAACCATCTAATTTTCTCCACATTTTTGGATGGTCTCCTAGATCCAGAAAGGTTTTGCCTATAAGGTCAAAACATCTGGACAAAAACAGAACATAATTGTTGGACCCAAGCAGTGTTGTGCTTTACAGTTTTTGACAGGGCAGAGAAAGACATAAGGAGAATCTGCTTAGTATAAAATGACAATGGATCACGAACGAAAGCCCTGAGTTTTGACCCCAGCTCTGTTCAAATTGATGTGGTCAACCATCATCTTGCAGCTAAGTTTGTTTTAATTTCCCAGAATCGAGTGGTAGATTTGTTCTGAACATCACTATGGTACAATGGAGTCCTTCCTTTGCTGCAGCCCAAAGCAGAGGAAAGAGGGCAAGGTTTAGACCCAGAAACTGTGTGTGCTTTGGCCTCATCACAAGGGTGAGCTGACAGATTCGGGCATGACTCAACTTTAGGATCTCTGAAAATTGGAGATAGTGATCTTTATTGAACTTGCATGGCAACGTGTATCCACTTGTTCATCTGCACCCATAGTAAGCAGAATTCCCAAATGACCCTCATAACCTAGGCCCTTGAGTCATTACCTCCCTGTAATTATTGGTGGGACCTATAACTTACTTCTAACTGGCAGAGTACTGCAAAGGTGCTGGGAATCACTCCCACGATTATGGCGGGTCTATGGCAAAGGTGAAGGGCGTTTGCAGATGTAATTAAAGGTCCTGAGTGCACTGGAATTTGTCAGGTGACCCTATTTAAAAAGATCTGGCAGTTGGAGATAGAAGCCTTTT